TTAATTATTTCTGTATCTGTCTTTTTCTATTGTCATTTAGTGAATTGAGAGAGGCGTCAGAACTTGGAAATGAGACTGTACAACCAGTGCGTGTTGCCAGTGATGACCTATGGAACTGAGACGTGAAACGTTCACTGCTGGTCGTATAAGGAAACTCAAAGTTACTCAGCGAGCTTTAGAGGGGGCTATGCTCAGGGTTTTCTTATATTCTTTATAATCTTTGAAATGTGGATATCCACAGTAAACTGGAGTGACCGACATAGCCTAACGGATTAGTAAGCTGAATTGGCAATGGGCCGGCCATATTGCTCGAAGAACCAACAACCGATGGGGAAAAGCGCTTCTCGAGTGGCAGCCTCGTACCGTTAGACGAAAGTGTAGGTCGCGCCAAACCCACTAGATGGAGTGACGACCTGGTAAGACATACAGTAAGTCGATGGATGCAGGTGGTTCGGGAGGCATAGGCTGGTCCTTCACAAGTTGAACTTGTGAAGGACTGTAATGATGATGACGATGATTAAGATGATATTTTAAGAATGTTTGTCTGTTTATTTGTCTGTCTGCTGTGAGCCCGTCTGTCTGTCCGAACTGATCTTCGGAATGGATTAACTGATTATAAAGAAACTTTACGAACAGATAGAGAGCAATGCTGCATTTTAATGATTTTGGGCTGTATTTTATCCGAAACACTTGGAGATTTTTTGAGTATTCAAAAAATGGTAAAATAAATGATCTTTGGTAATTATCTCAAAATCTCAATAACGCCACATTGATATAACCTATCGAGGCGAAGACGGGGCGCGTCGCTTGTTATAATGTAAATAAAATAGGTAGTAAAGTCCCGCTTTAAGTGCGACAGTACCGCTTCTATTGCTATATGCTGTTTCTAAAATAAGTAAAAATGTCCTGTTTTGACAAACAAACGCATAGCATCATACAAGCTCGCTCTCAAGCAAGCTCTGTCACACGAAGTGACAATTAATTTGTTAAATAAATTATTAAATAATAACCAGTTATTTCTAAATTATATTTATTAGTAAAATTATTATTTGTCTCTTTTGAAAAATATAAAACCCAACCCAAATAGACTTTATAAGATTAGTTCTCATTTCAACACTTGATAATTAAATATATTAAAAAATTAAAAAAATATTTTTACGTGGTAGAGCCATGCTGCAGCTATATTATAGTTGTAGCACGAATGGGTCGGCTCGACCGGGGAAGGACCACGCTCTCACAGAAACACTGCTGTGTTTCGTATGGTGAGTGTAGAGAACCGGAGACCCGTTTTACTGGAAATGAGGCATTCCATCTTAGTCCTCACGGGTGACGACGTATCTGCATTTTGATTCGTAATCGAAGATAAATGTAGATGTCTATGGGCCACAGCAACCACTTACCATTAGGTGGACTGTGTGCTCGTTTGTCACCCTTATCCTATAAAAAAAAATATGGAATATTAAATATGTTTTGTTTTTTTAAAAACATAGCCATTAAAGGCTGTCCCGCTTTGAGGGAATTATAAATGACAGCTCCGTGGCGCAGTGGCTTAGCAATAAGTTGCAGCTCCAAGGGCCGCGGGTTCGAATCCCGCACGAAACAAGTATTTGTATGGCCTACAGATAATTGTTCCGGGTTTGGATGTTTGTCCTTGTGAAATTTATGTATGTAAACTGTCCCCACGATACAGGAGAAAATCCTATAGCGTTTAAAAAAAATTGGTCACGTTATTCATACATTTATTTAATAATATCAAATACCCAAAACTTTGATCTAAAAAAGCTAGGTAACCCTAACGCGTGCACACACGTGAAAGTTTATTTACGATTGTGTGCGTGCCAGCTCCCTTGAACCTGCGCGCGCCGGATTCCAATGCAAACCCGTTCTGGAGACTAGTCTAGCGCATGCGATGCGTGAAAAATCGTGTTTTCTACACTGCTTTCATGTGTGTTTACTGTTTACCCGCATGTCTAATGCAATGGGTCTTTGTTTCGAGTATAAGATGGTATTGAACTTGTCAAGGGTCATTCCCATTGTGTGCGTGTGGCCTACTCCGTCACACACACATTATTTTGTCGTTAACTGTGAGAATAAATACGGATATCCATTATAAAATGGTCTAATATACACGTGCGTGAGGCCTACGTTTCGATAAACTAAAGCAATGTCATCATCATCATCATTACAACCTAACAACGTTCAATTATTATTTCCTTATTGGTCTAAGTTATGAACATGCGTCTCCTCGTATGTTGCTTCATCAGGGGGATATTAGCCATTTTTTTGCAGTTTTTTTTTTTTCAATTTCTTGGTATTATTGGGCAAACGCTGCTTGACGCCCATCTCCTGGTTTATTTCCTTCTGTCGCCATTTACGAAACTCACGAGATGATATTGGGTAATTAATAAATTCTTACAATGCCACTACACGGATTTTTTAATTATTTTAAATCTAAATAACGCGTTAATAGATTCTATCCAAGCAAAGCCTGGACGAGTCGCTAGTATTATACAAAGTTCGGATACGCCCCTGAACTACCAGGCATACATAACCATATTGTAGTTGTCCTTCAAGCAGAGCGAATGGCAATGAACCGTGACACAAGCAGTAACTTGAGATTGGCTCCAGGGTTGCACTTTGTACGTGTTTCACAGACCGCGACAATTTAATCGATCACCGGCTCCGTTCTTTTCATTCTACAAATAATACGCAGATAGAAAGAACAAAGACAAGTATTTAAGAACGTAGATAACACCCTAAAACGGAATCTGAATCTTCTTCTTTCTAGGTTTAAACAAAGTCACGCGGTATATACGATCGCACCTGAAGTACCAGGCGTACATAACCATATTGTGAGATACAAGTTACTTCGTACATAGAAATTTTAATATTCCATAACTTTATGCAATATTAAAATCCTATGTTAAACAAAGTCTACTATGGAAGCCTTTTCTAATAAAATTGCAGTTGCAAACCCGCCTGCTAAACGTGGCAATAATGGCAAATATCCTCCTTAGGTGGCATTCTATGGGTAGGCCTATCTTCAGCAGTGGACTTTGATAGGCGGTAATGATGATGATGATAAATAAATAAAAATAAATAAACAAAGTTATTGTCACCTGTTTTGCTGAAATAGCAAAATGTGACAATTTTCTTTTCAATAAGTATAGGCAGTGTAATATTTGTTTTAATCAATCTATGACAAAATGAAGGCCCATTATGCATTCAATTATTTTAAAATGTTTTATATAAGTACTAAGTTAAATTATATCTGACGTACCTTACAATACTTAATGACTAATGACGTACCTTCATTTGAAAGCAAGACTATTTAATAGCTGTTATATAAGATACATTAATAGCTAACGAGTAGAAAAATAATCCGAATTGTTTGTCCGTCGGAACTCGGAAGCGTCCGTGCGGTTCAATTAATTCAATATGCGAGTTGTATTTGCATAAGATGGTTAAGTCGGTGATAAATTGGCCTTGGATGCCGCTAACACGAATGTTACACCATCGCTTTCTAATGTAGTTAAAAAAGCATTAACTATGCCGGTGATTTTGTCCGCTTGGGATTGTAATATAAAAAAATCATATTAATACAGAAACCTTGATGATGCTTCTTGGCGCAGTGGCTTACCAATGAGTCACAGTGCTAAGGGCCGCGGGTTCGAATCCCGCACAGAACAAGTATTTTTATGGCCTACAAATAATTGGGTCTGGATTTCTGTCCTTGTGAAATTTATATATGTATGTAAACAATGGACACTATACAGATTGAAGTATTCCCAGAGTTCCTGTTGTTTTGTAACGTGCATCTGTGTCATCGTCATCATCATGTTGATCACATTTGTGTCCAAAGATTTAAAATTAAAAAAAAATCATAAAGTCATACTGGATATAAAGTTCTTATGTTGTCAAATACAGAACCTCCAACTTTTTTAAGTCGGGTGAAAGTAAAAACTATTCAGCTATTAAATTTTTGACCAATGAAACTTAGGTTGCTTAAGCATTAAAATTTTTCATCTCAGAATATCATTTCTAAATTTTAGCAATACTTAGTTCTTACTTTCCACACAAGACAGCACTCACTGAACGAGAGGAGAGACGCTTCTCGAGTGTGGTGCGTGCTGTAGTAAATGTCATCTTGAACACGTAAGTGACGTACGTCTGGTTTTGTGTTGTAGACAAAAATACGTTTATATTGTCCTTAATAGTGTATTATATTCTCCTGAGTAGTGTATGGATACAGGTAGCTCTGGGTCGTATTTTGTGAAAATCAATAGTTGTAATGTTTAAGCAGTAGACGTGGCTGTAATGACGATAATTATCGTAAAGTAATATATTTTTTTTTAATTTTGAATTTATAATACTAATTAATATTTCTAATATTTTTTAAATTTTAAAACGACATGTTAACTGTTAGTAAGTCCACCTGACGGTAAGTGGCTAGTGCCGTCTATGGCCACCTGTAGCCTACTTAAAATAATAAAGACCAAAAAGGGTATCCGGTTCCTGTCACTCATGTCACTAGCCAAACAGCAGCATTATGCTGTGTCAGGTGTAAAGGTTGTGAGGGGCATTCCATTTTAGTTCATTCATTCATTCTTTCAATTCCTCTGGTCTTGCAGGTGTACATTGGCTGCGGTAGGAACATACTATCATGTGGACTATATGTTCGTATGTCACACCGGTTTTATTTTTAAAAAAAAAATATTTAAAAGGAGGTAGTATTATTTTCTGCCTAGGAAGGATTCTGTCCGAGTAGACATCATCATTTTTTCTATTTCTGCCGCCAAACAGCAATGCGTGTACTTTGATGGAAGTAAGTGTAATTACACAAATTCTCCAATGTGACCTTCAACCGTCTTTGTTCGAAGATGGCTGCTGGTGTCCATGCTGCAATAGTCACTTATTATCAGGTGGATTGTTAGGTGGTTAGTCATTTTAATATTATTAAACCAATTATTCGGAGTATTAAATTGGTGGTTTGTCCGCAGGCGGGTGAGCCGGGCGTGGTGGTGCTTCGTCCGGAGGCGCTGGCGCGCGACTCGGGCTCCGAGTCGGACGGCGAGGGCGAGGGCGAGGGGGTGGACGGGGTGGCGCGGCCGCCGTCGCCGCTCGCCGTGCGCTTCGTCAACGACAACGTGCTCATCAACGGACGCTCCTCCATGCCCGCCAGACCCAACAGGCAGCGCATCGCCAATGTACGTACCCAAGGCCTGGCTGGCAGGTTGCTGCTGCTCGAGAGACCGATGGAGAGGCCCGCCCCAACAGGTGGCGCATCGCCAACGTACTTGCCCCTCTTGCTACAGGTTGCTCCTGCTGGCTGAAGCTCGCTTTGTTGCGTCCCGAACGAGATTTTTTTGCATAAATAATCTATCCTAATATAAATAGATATAGGGATATTAGAGGCGTATTCAAACTGCAAGAGTCATCGCCATAGAATAATTAATAAAACGAGCTATTCGCACTGCTGCATTACATCAGTGTTGAGTATCATGGCGCGACACTCTCCAGTTCTCCACAATGGTGCGGCTCGATCGAACGATCGGCGACAGAACCTTTTTTTAAAGAATAAGCTTGACCAACATACATTACACACATACATACATTGACGATTAACACACAGTGCACCTGATGATAAGTGGATACTGTGGCCCATATAGACATCTACAATCATCTTCCATTACAATTCAAAACGCAGATGCGTTGTCACCCTTGTACAACCAGCGTGAAATAGCAGCTTAATACTGCTGTCGTTTTTACTGAAAACAAAGCATTCCATCTTGTTTCTCAGGGGTGACAATTCATCTGTATTTGGAATCTTAATCGAGGATAAATGTAAATGGCTTTAGTATCCACTTACCATCAGGTGGACTGTGTGCTCGTTTGTCACCCCATTCTATAAAAACAAATAACAAGGTGCTGATATGTGAATGTCTGATTCCAGTTGAAGCTGCAATTCGACGACTCGTTGACGCGCACGTTCGAGTACCCGTCGGAGACGTCTCTGTGCGAAGAGTCGCCATCAATTGATACCGCTGTGGCTACCTCGCCGGCTACCTGCCCCGCTACCGCTACCGCAGCTGTCTCCGCCACGCTCGCCGCCAACACGCACCTAGGTATTTTTTTTTTAAATACTAGTAATGTTGTTAGCATTACTAATATTCCCTTTAACAAATACTGGTAAGCTCAAATTACTTGTGTCAGGAGTGCTTCACGACAGTATTCGAATGGTGGATTCTACCCCACGACCTTTAAGAGTTCGCGCTCCGCACCCTGCCATCAAGCTACTGTCGAAATCTACACTTCCTCGTCAGCTCGTTTGATAGTCCTCCGCTGGATATGGATAGGAAGGATATGCTGTGATCCCCACTCTTTGACACTGTTTCCTTATCCTTCCATCACAAGCCATCACAAGTCCACTTCTGAGCATAGGCCTACACCACAGATTGATTCATAAGGGGGTTATTTATATATTATATTTTTGGGATAGGCGTTTTGTTATAATTGCCCCGATTAGCAGGTAAGTTGGCAACTACAGTTTTCTTATTATTTGAAATTATTTTCAGAGATCTGCTACTGGTAATCTCCTGTTTTAGTTTTCCTCTATCGCCTCTCACGACACCCACGGGATAATATAGAGTAGTATCTCTTAATTTGATTTGAAAAAAAAACACTTGAACCAGTTTCATTATATTGATTTTCAATTATCAATGTACTAATTATAAAAACCGACCGGTTTCGCCTCACGGTGTCTTCATAAGAATGTATTAGTTACTATGATATCTATAAAATCTATAAAGGCCGCTATATAAAGAGCTCATTAAGTGAATTGTCTAAAGTTCGGCTGCGTCGATCTTCGTCGCTGCGGCTGAGAACGCGTTGCGGCGAGACTTTCGTATGAGGTACACGCACGCACACACAAACACACACACATACACACGCACGCACACGTACACAAACACACTCACCACACACACACACATATGTACACGAACAGTGCGTTTATGTGTATCTTTATGACTTGTATTGCCTGTAATGCTCATACACAGACTGTTTGCAACCTCATCATATCATTTGTCGCCTCATCAACGTAGCTAATGTTGAATAATTTTAAGTAATACTCTCAGTAGGTGATCATTGGAATTGTCATTGCAAGCCAATATCCTAGCCACTAAGATTTTCCTCCTACCGATCGATTTACTAGATCCTGTATCGTGGAGACAGTCCTTAGGTATTAAAATCCATCAAGCCCTATAAGCTACAGAGCGTGCCAAAGAAATAAACATACATATACATACTCCCGAAAAAAATTACTCTCCTTCTGGTGCAGTCGGGTAAAAACGCAACTATTGTGTTAATTTGCACTATTAGTAACCTATTGTGTAAAGCTCAATTAGATTTCAGTCATTTGACTGAAACTTGTATGTTTTGCTCAGTATTTACGGTTTTTACTCTTAAAATATTTGTTTGTTGTTTTTGTATTGCTAGTGTTATAACTCACCTTAAGATTTAACCGACTTCAAAAATGAGGTATCATCAATTAGTCTGTATTTTTTAAACGTACGTAACACATCTCTGAGGTTATTTATTCGATAGAGATATTGAAGTCGGTTTAAGGTTTTTGTAGTCATTTCAATGATTCCACGATTTTTTCTGCCAGCAAAGCGCTACTTAGGAATGAGGTGTATATTTAACTGGTTTTTTTAGTTAACTTATTAGACAAGTACAGTGGTTAACGTTTCTTTCTGAAATATTAGTTATATTTTATATTAATTAGATTAGAAGTGGATAAAACAAACTACGGATATTCCTACAAATAGAAGAATTTTAAAAATGTGTAAAAAAAAGTGAAGAATACAGCACTGAGGCTATATTTTGTGTATATTTAAACAAACACTAGAAACCTAAAAACATATAATTAAATTGCAACTATTCAATGATGATGACACTGTGTGACCATCTGCGTTACAAATAAGTTGTACTTAGTACCAACTAGCGACATCTGGTGAGAGTAAGATTATTTTCTACATAACAGCTTTTGATGCCGGGCCGGTGCTGAGACACGTCGAATTAAAGAATTAAAGGTCCTACTTTAGAAGCTAGGAAGAACCAGCAGGAAACCCAGCGGGACATTTATCAAAGTAAATTATACAATAAGAAAGGTTGTACAAACTATTATATACAAAATTTATTACAGAAACAGCTTGGAAACGGCTTCCTCATTCCCAGGGGTTATTATCAATCATGTATTCATTTATATTATAATAAGTCATTTTATACAGTTTCTATTTAATAAAATATGTAACTAAACTTAGTAATAGAGAGACATTGCATATTTCTGGGACTCTGTTTAATAGCGAATTACTGACTCTGTGGAGTCTAGAAATTAGCATCACTAGCTTGTATTTGTTCCTAGTGTTTATTTTTGTGAATAATTATGTTATATATCTATAGATTATATTTATTATATTATTGTGTTTTTCAGTGTCGGGGTCGCTAGGCCGCTACACGCCGAGCAAAACGCACGCAGACTCCTTCGAACTCGGCCTTACTAGGCCTCACGCCGGTCAGTACACTTTCTCGCTCTCACTACTCGTAGCGTAGTACAATTAAAGCAGGACACCTCTATACCGTCAAAGCATTTTTAAGGCGAAGAACTGAAGCTTTTGGAACAACACTGTATACGGGTTCCATTCTTGGTACCTTTCTTTTCATTATTTACATTGTTGACATACTAAGGAATGATATTTCATATATTATATTATTTTATAATCAATCGTCCTTAAATACTAATATATAGTATGTTGAGGTAAAACTATGCTTAAAAATATTTATATGATGTCAGTATTGTCTAAATGTTACACATTTTAAAGTATAATTGAACAAGTTTAGTTATCTTAACACTCTGTTTAATAACACTTTTTTTGAGATTCTGTTTTAGATTTATACATTATTCATAAGTAACATCATAGATTTTTAATTAAAAATTGAATAAACAATATGTAAAAAAAAACCTTGTCCAATCCGTGAGGAAGGTCATGATATGATTTTGTGTATGTAATTCTTTTCAGAGAATAAAAACATCCCCACAAAAAAATTAAATTTGAAACTTACATGGCATTGCTATCTATACGTTCAAAGAAATTGTCGCCGCAGACGGTGTTGTCAAATTTTAAAAATTTGCTGGAAATTAAGCAATATATTGCGGTAAAATACAATTATTTTTTGGTTATGCCATAGCGTCATAACTATATGCTCCTTTCGGATGCGATAGGGTGTTTTTTACATTTTGAAGATAAATAAAAAAAAAAAATATATTACTGACATATAAAAATATTTTAATTTATGTATCCTGTATTTGGTTAAAAAAGTTTTAAATAAAATTGACGGTTCTTGAGTTGTTGTGTTGGGAGCTGCGGGTTCGAATCCCGTACGTAATAAGTATTTGTATGGTCTACAAATAATTATTTCGGGTCTGGATGTTTGTGTTTGTGCAGTTTGTGTTTGTAAATTGCCTCTACGATACAGGAGAAAATTATAGTGTTGGGGTAATGTTTTAATATCGATAATAACAATAAGAATAAGAATTACAGGAATTATTATAATTAATAATGGTAATATTTTTTTATTATTTTTGAGTTATTTAAAAGTTTTATATAGTAGTTCACCTGATGAAAAGTGGATGCTTTTGTTTATTGGATTAAGAATCAAAATGTATGTGTTGTCATCCTTAAGGTCTGATGGAAGATGGAATGTTTAGTTACCGGTAAAAAGGCTGTCTGGTCGTCCACATTTACTATATGAAACACAGCAGTATTATCTACTGTTTCAAGTTGGTATTCTGTAACAGCGTGGTCCTGCCTTGGTCGATCTGAGACATTCATGCTACAGTATAGCTGCAGCATGGCTCTATCACGTGTTGTCACCATCTGCACCTATAAGGCAATATAAAGGGCGGGCCTTTTAACGGTATTTAAAATAAGTTAAAATGATTGATTACAGAAGCGGAGCAGTCGGAGCAGAGCAAGGCGGACGCTGTCGTGGAGGCGGTAGCGGAGGCGGAGGCGGAGGCTGAGGCGGGCGACGCGCGGCCCTGCGCCGCGCACGCCGCGCGCTCCTGGAGCGACGCGCGCGCGCTCTCCACCGACCTGCTGTTCTAGGCGCGGCGTGCGCGGAGGCGGAGGCGGAGGCTGAGGCGGGCGACGCGCGGCCCTGCGCCGCGCACGCCGCGCGCTCCTGGAGCGACGCGCGCGCGCTCTCCACCGACCTGCTGTTCTAGGCGCGGCGTGCGCGGAGGCGGAGGCGGAGGCTGAGGCGGGCGACGCGCGGCCCTGCGCCGCGCACGCCGCGCGCTCCTGGAGCGACGCGCGCGCGCTCTCCACCGACCTGCTGTTCTAGGCGCGCAACCCTCGCGCCACACACGAACTGCTCGCAGATCACTACTCGCACTCGACAACACCACTGAAACAGTGCTGTGTTTAACGTGGACAATGACCCAACTCATAGTATTTTTAAATACAATTCAAAACCCGACCGCTGCCACTTACTACTCTTACCAGATCGCAGGCAACAAAAACAGAGAAACAAGTAGACAAGAACACGAACGAAACAGTGCTGCGTTTAAAGTGGACATTGTGCAACCTCATAGTATTTTAAATGCTGTTATAGTGTTCACTGCCAATTATACCTCGCGTTACACTACGCACCACTCACTGCATTGTACTCGTAGAACACCACTCGCACTGGACATAAGCAGAAGCAAAATATTACTGCATTTAATTGGACAATAAAGGACTCCATTTTTCTACTAAAAAAGTTATGTTACACTAATATTGACACTGCGTGATCTGAGTAAACTCGAGGTTATCTTCAAGTACTGACAAGTCTGACTGGAATAAGAACAGAAGTACTTACAGCATTAGAATGAGAAGAGATTCTTAAGATTGATTAAAAGCTACATTATTCTCTTACGTTCACTCTTATAAACTACAGTGAAAGAATGGTCCATTAAATATAGACAATAATGTAAACTAATTCAATTTCATAATGAAAAAAGCTTTTATGTTAGTTAGGTAATACTAACTCAAAAGTCACAGCTCAAATGAAAATTACAAGATCCTTACAAAAATGAACCATATTGAGATAGACAAGAACAGAACCAAGCAATAGAAATGTTATTACAGGATTCAAACAAACCATTAATTTTTAAATGTCCTATTTCCTTGAATATGTGAAAGAAAAAACAAAGTGTTTGACATTGGCAGAATTCTTTCACAGATTGCCATAAAAGAAGGAATTCACACAGCACTGTATCGAAGACTAGAACTTTTTCTTGTGTTTGTGTTGTGGCTTGCGGGTGGAACTAAATACATAAAACAATATCTCCATATTATGTGTATTTTTATAATGTATGAGATTGCTTAGTTTTTATATAAAAGCTTGTTCTAAATTTTATCGGGTTTACAAATATGCAGTGTTGTGACATATTAATCAAATTAAATGTACAAGATTCAAAAGTTAACGGAGATGTGAAAAAAATATTTAAAAAAAAATAAACTTTATAAAAGTGATAGTATTATAGTATAAACTTAGTTGAAGGAATTTTTGAAAATATGTTATTTAGCCAAAGCTGTGTTTTATACGGGGGCAATAATCTATTACTTATAATATGTACTAAGCCATTTCGACTAATTGACTCTTATAAGAACTATGGATTCATTTAATTAATAACCATACAAACTTTCCTTGCATTTGTCTACAAGTCATTACATTTACATATTTACACTATAATATTTTTGTACTAATATTTGTCTACGTACTGGAATTAAGATTATCTTGTAACTAGGTTTATTAAACGAAGTGAAAGATGTAAACATAAGTGAAAATCTGCTCAAGTGCTATTTATACAAACCTCTCTATATCTGGCAACACCAAGTCATATCTTATGTACTTAATGTAAGGTACAAATGATGCATTGATTTAACGAAGCTGACTGACTAGCTGATAATGACTTCATAAGGCATTTTGAGACATTTTGAAGGAATTTTTAGATGATAAGTTTAGCGGGTATAAAAATTGTGGTTTTTGGTCAAGCAACATGAATTCCGATGTTATTCTCTAATCAATCATTCCTAAATATCCATTCCAGAATTCTAAAGGAAGACTGACCAATTTTGTACTCTTATACAAGTTTCCACAAAAAAGAATTGTACATGTTGTAATACAACACCAAGTCAGGAAAATTTGTGGCAAAAATTAATAACATATCAATACAAATATGTAATAATATATGCTAAACTTTTTTACTAACAATACATAAATATCAAGATCTTTGCTTTGTAAAACAAGCGTGCATTTCGTTGCTTCCATTTCGATATAAATATATAAAGCATGATCGGCTTGATACCTATATAACCAAATATAATTCTGTGGTCCATAAGGTTTACAATATATAAAAAAACTACTTAGCCTGCTAAAAGATTTTTAACACAAAGTAAAAGTTATAGGAATTACAAGTATTTATTAGATAACTTTTGACTTCAGATTATCATCGCATTTGTTTTGGAATTTATATGAGACCACTACAAATGTATATTCTTAAAAATGGGAAAACTTTCACTGGAGACATACATAACTTGTTACATCCAAAAAAAAAATTAAGAACATTTTCTTTTTAACACACTTTTGCTTGACTTGTATGTATAAAATAGAATTTTATAATACATTTTACCTACTTTGGGGTTGAAATTTTGCATATGTAATAACTGATGATGATTACTATGGCCGAGTAACCTTACAGCGATCGTCATATATCATAATCAATGCATCTTGATCATTTAAATTTTTTTTCTCTTCTCTTATTTTATTAACAGTGTACATAATTCATTATATTTAAATTTATATATTTTTGCCATAATTATTCCTAAACTGATTCTAACATGGACTATACGCGTTATACGCGTTGCCATTACTAGACGCGACATCAATATAGGAAATAGTTTGGTCAATAATGTATTTATCTTAATGCTTTGCTATATTAATGTGATTCTGTAACCATATTTTTGTATAACGCATATTACACGGAAGTAGAATGGTGGGGTCCAACGGTTAGTACTGCGGACAAAGCAAGTGCCTGCTGTATAAGGTTGGGGAGACTCATAGCATTTATGTTAGTGTAAAGTCTGTTTCTATGGCATGCGGGAATACGAACAATGACACTAATGCCCAAATACTCAAACGGTGCTCAATTTTAAGATGCCGTGAAGTCCCATGCTGTCTCTATCACTTTAAGGCAAAATGACTGACACCACAAGACATAACGACATCTTAAAATTGAGTAGCATATAAGTATTTGGCCTTAAGTATTATGTTATAGTCTTCAAGAAACGATGCGTATCGCTTTCTATACATTTCTTTATTGTTGCGCTTTTCACTGCATTACGTAGTCACAGGGTGGGATGAGAGACGCGATCATTCAGAGGTTAGGAGAATGAACTGTTTTGAATTTCAATTGTTTTTCAAATGAATTGGATATGTTCATTAAGAACTGTGAACTTTGTTTTTTTTTTATGTTTTTTGTCTCTGTCTCACTTTTTGAATATTAAAAATTTTAATATATTATCAAAGACAGTATAAAATTTATTTACTGATGTGACCAATCTGATGCTGAATTGAGATTTTCACATTTCACATATCTACATGACAAATGAACATTACCTGGTCTTAGGTATAGATTTGACAAAAGGTGAAACGGAGATCAAAATTGCAGTGGCAAAAAGGTTAGTTATCCCTACAGTAAGCTTATTAAGGTCAAGGTCATGTCCGCATTTCCGCCTATCCTAGAAGCAGACTATTATTCAATTTGTATAGCTGAATTAGTTCAGGCACGCTTTAAGAGTGTCATATTATTTTTGTTTATATGTTTGCCTGCTCTTGTACATACAACATGAATCGCTTTTTTGTAAATAAACATCGCTTATGTATGTAGGGATTAAGATGTTATAGGATATCATCATCATCATCACATCCCTTCAAAAGTCCTCCGCTGAACATGGCCTCCCCTAAGGAATGACAAAAAGCACGATCTTAAGCCAACCGGCATCTGTTGACTTGCTGCATATCTTACCAGGTCCAGATTGTAGGATATATTATAAAGCAATAAAAATTGTATCGCTTTTTAACTTTTAGAACAAGGACTTCATATTAAAGAAGTTTTCGTCATAATCACTAGTCACTGGTATACCGGTCACCTTGCTAAGAGAAAATTATCAGAACTTGAGCACTCGTGTGGGACTTATATACTTTACTATAGAAATTATTTACGTGCCGCTGGAGTCCATTGTCCTTGTAGATATCTTTAATTCTTTGAAGCTTAAAGTAAAAAATAAAGACAAAAAAAACATTAACCAATTTTGCCAAATTTAAAGTGAAACAAAAACAGTAAATCTTTTTTTCTTTATAAAATATAGTTGTCAAACTGCCTTCTGCTCTTGAGGCCTCTTGATCACAATACCAGATGTGTTACACTCAGTATTTTACGCCTCGTTAATTACTTACCATTAGGTGAGCCGCATGCTCAAGGGGGCAACCCTCTTATATATATATATATATATATAAAACGAAATGAGATAATAACGCCTAAAATCATAGTATTTACTGTTTTTTTTTTATTACTGAAGAGGAGGCCAATACGCATGAGGCTCACCTGCTGGTAAGTTGACCGCCGCCCAAGAACAACTGCAACACCAGGTGAATTGAATGTGCGTTGCGGAGCTTTTAAAAAGGAGTAGGCTCGTTTCTTGAAGGTCCCAAGTCGTAATAGTCGGGAAAATCGCCGGTGGTAAACAATTCAAAATCCCATACACATCCCATAGTACGGGTACATCCTATAATAACCTCTTACGGCACCCACGGGACGAAATGAAGCTCTGTGTACGCTTCACTATCCATTGATTAATCTATTTAAATTTTCATTATCTTTAATCAGTTAGCCATTTAATTCCTGTCCTATTATGGGGTTTGACTGCCTCGTTAGTCTAGTGGTCATAAATGCGGTTCCTGATAATGAGGTCCCGGGTTCGAATCCCGGGTCGAACCAAAATCAGATTGGGTTTTTTTTAATCAAGAAATTCTCAATAGCAGCCCGGAGTCAAGAAGTTGGCGATGTTTCACCCCCGTGCTTAGAAAAGCACGTACAGACGCTGATTCTGCGCCTGCTCTCTCTCCGGTCGTGTCGGTTTACCATCCCATCGGAATAGAGAGTGCACCTGTGCTTGCGCATAAACTTGAAGCACTATAATCCTATCCTACGCAGATATTTAGTCTCCGTTGAGACGGGCCACTGTGACCGAGTTTCGGTCTGGACGACATTATTATATTATTAAGGGCTTAATGACAGACAGATTGCAGTTTCATTTTATTAATTCCCCCCATAAATATAATCCTAACAAAGCAATGGTAGAGCCAACGTGTTGTATGTGCGAGGACAGCGAAGGCCTCGAGGCCAACACTTGCCAATGCCTAGTTATACTGTATGCATATTATGGATTAACGTAGTTGTTATGATTAGTGACAATTTATTGTAATACAAGGTATTTAAGTCTTATATCCTAAGCAGTGAGCCGCATATGCACAGGGGACTTGGGTTTGAAACAAGGAACACATCTTTTTATATTAATAAATAGAAATTTTCAATTAAATTCTATGATTTTGCAAAACGTGCTCAGTTAAAAACTACATATTTTAATTAAACTTACATAATAAAGTTTTCTATATCAGGTTTTCGTAATAAGTATAAAAAGGTACAAATTTAAATTATATTTTCATAATAACTGGTCAAGCAGATATTGTTCTGCGCTTTCCATTAGGAGGCGCTATGAGTTTCACTCCTAACTTTTACAGTGTAAATACAGAGAGAGTAGCATAATGGTAGCGTGCTTAGTGCGGACCGCCAACTTAAAAGTCGTGGGTTCGAATCCGCCCTTTGACTACTCTAGTGAATCACTCCTGACAAACATTTTAAGCTTACCAGGAGTGGGTAAAGAGAATATCAGTAATGTTTATAGCATTACTTGTTTTTTTTTTATAAAATTAACTAACCGCTCACAGCGCCACCTATCGGAACTAGATTTTGTAATTTTTTTGAACCAAGCCAACATATTGTTATTTTATGAAGTGAACATATTATTCAGTATGCTACATATTGATGTTGGCTTGTGTTCCCGTTAGTGCATCTTTTAACTTACAAAATACTAACGGAGCCCAGGTCTTCGGCTGGCTAGCTAAAACGATGACATGTAATTTGCAGTATGTAGTTGTAATTGGGCGAGGGCGCCGCGTCCTCTGCCCCATAGTCATGTACTCATGCTGATACGGCAATAAACGTACACAAATACATAGTTGTTTTATTTAACCTTACGTTATTTTAAATGTGTAAGGCTTTGACACTCCATACCAACCAAAGGGCTAGAACCCAGAGCCGAAAAGCCAGTTTAAAAAAGTCCATATCAACCAGGCTATCCCATGTCTGCGGAAGAAATTGTGGCTATGGAGTGTAGTGTAGAAGGAGAACCATCTTATAAGGGGCGAAAGTTGAAAAAGTGTCCCACTATAATATACTGAAAATAGAGGTTCCAAAACCCCACAATAGCGCTGGCGTCTGAAAAACTACGATAGGAACATAGCTGTTGTAGACGGAGTACTGACTTCACTCCGTCTACAACAGCTATGTTCATGTACAAAAAATTCATGAGTAGAGTACATAGGCTGCACTAAAAGTATCGGGAATGGAATATTTCCACTGTTCCTGTCATATTAAAATCTTTTTAATTGAAAAGACCTTGGTTTTAAAAAT